AAATATTTAAAAGAAGGATTACCTTTTTGCCTCACCTGTTTCTCCTAGGTATTACACAAAATTTGGACGTAAAAGAAACTAATTTGATGTTGCACTGTTTAACTGCTGCCCGTTTGTTGATAGCTCAAAACTGGAAGAGTAAAATTTTACCAACAATGGAAGATTGGAGATTGAAAGTTTCGCATCTTGCTGAAATGGCTAAGATTTCAGCTTATCTGAAGAATCACTCAAATGAACAATTTTTATCTATATGGAGAAGATGGATTGTTTATATACAAAAGAAGCATAGAATAGTGGAATATAACTTAGGTTTTTAATTAACTGGTTTTTTTTTTCTTTTTTTTATATATATATCTCACTTATTCATGTAAAATTTATATACCTTGTGGAGTTAGAGATATTATTAATTGTTTACTTATATTTGAATACTATCCTGGGATTAGGTTTGGGAAGTCTCGGGGGGTGGGGGGGTGGGGGATGTGGGTTTTACATTATATTGTGTTATATTTGTGATGTTTTTTCTTTATGATGAAAATAATAAAATTTTTATTGAAAAAAAAAAAAAAGAAAAGAAATATCTATACTTAAAACAAAATAAACTCAACAATCATCCATATTTAAAGAAATACGATACTGCAGAGCATGCATACATCCATAATCCATAACACTAAACTGAAAAGAGAGATTTAGTTATACGTTATATATAGTTATACTTAACTAATACTATACACACACAAAACACACGTGTGTGTGTGTGTGTGCGTGTGGAGAGAGAGAGAGAGAGAGACAGAGACAGAGTGAGAGAGAGGCAGAGGGACAGAGAAAGCGAGAGAGTGAGTGAGTGAAAGAGAGTGAGTGTCCTTGACTTACAACCACAATAGCGGGACCAGAAAATTTATCATTAAACAGTGTAGATGTTAACTGGCTTATCATCTGATTGCACCCAATTTTGCCATGGTTGTTCAGCAAATCATCCATGGTCATTAAAGCAAGACATCACACAACCATGACTTGTGACCTCCTGCCAGCTTCTCCGCTGATTCCATTTGTCAGAAGACCTCTGAGAAGATTGCAAATGTGATCACGTGACTGCAGGACTGCCAAGGTCCCAGATCATGATCATGGGATTCCAGGGATGCTGAGATGTCATAAATCTGAAGACAGGTCATAGGTCATTTTTTGCTGCACTGTATAACTTTGAACAATAATTAAATGAATGGTCATTAAGTGAGGATCTTTATCCAGAATTGTATGCCAGCAGATGTGTAAGATCAAGAAAAGACATAGCTGCTTTAAGGAGTTATCAACAGATGATATCTGTGTACCCTGCATGACTCAAATCATATTTTGCCTCTTCAGTTGGAATCTCTGTACAACCTTGGGTTGTATTACATTGTTACTTACAGCTCTGTTCTGGATGAATAGCTGAGCATCCTTAAGATGGTTGGCAATGTTCTCACAAAGTCTCATGCGCTCTTCCTCATTCAGTACTTTGACAAAGAAGTCCCGTACCTTAATAAATAGTAAAAGCAAACGTTATACATATACCTTCTGCCACCTAATAGAAACTTTCTACAATTCCAATTTCATTAACAGTATCAACCTCAGCTATTAAATACATGGGAATAAACTGGTGGCTATTTACCAGTATCGTGGAATTCTCTCCACTGTTTAGAATGTGAAAAGTTCTGCCTTCTTTGAACCACCCCCAAATGCTATAAATAATGCATTGACAACTGACTGCCTCTTTAGCCAAAGCAACTCTCAGGACCACATCTGTATGAAGCAGCTTAACCTCCTACATCCTCAAATATTCCCTAATTTGCCTTGAAGACATTATTGACAGAACAAATAATAACCAATGTACAATCAGTCACTTAACAATCGTTTGAAATTATATCAGGAGCAGGACAGGTGCTTTGATCCCGTAGAGCGCATTTGGCTATCAGGAAATGCCATTCCACATCTCCACCATGATCACAGGACTGCATTTTAGATTCTTAGCAACCATCTTGCCTTTATGACTTGTTACAGCATCTCACAGTTCTGATTTGTGACAGTGTTTGCTGGTTACTGGCAAAAAACTCTCATGTTTTTTTTTAAAAGTGGGTTCCCTTAATGCAGTGGTGGCGAACCTATGGCACGGGTGCCAAAGGCGGCACTCAGAGCACTCTCTGTGGGCACGCTTGCCGTCGCCCCAGTAGTAGGCCTTCATCTGGGTTTTATAAAACCCTTTTGCTTTAGGCCTCCGCCGCCGTGTGCAAAAAAAAAAAAAGGTTCAATCAATCAGTCAATTTTAACTTCTCGCAGGAAAAAAAAAGATCTTGCAAAGTTGGAATTGATTGAACTTTTTAGTCCCACCCAGTCTGCTGTTACCACTGCAGCCACGCCTACCCAATGGGCCACACCCACCCAATTGGCCACACCCAGCCAATGGGCCACACCCACCCGGCACCCGATGATGCATAAGTGGTTTTTGGGTTGCAGTTTGGGCACTCGGTCTCTAAAAGATTCGCCATCACTGCCTTAATAGCTGTGGATTCATTTAATGACCACAGTGATTTGCTTAATAACTGCCACAAAAATGTTGTAAAATAAGGGCCCATTCATGAGAGTGCCTTGACTTACAACTGTAAATCCAGTCCCAATTGTGTTCATAAGTCCAGGACTACTTCTAAATATGTTTTATAAAGGAGGAGGGGATGGACATTTTTGAATGATCTGCAGTACAGAGGCCTAGCACATTATAGTAATTTTGGCCAAACCAGGAAAATAGCTTACTGGACTGATTCCAAGAGACCCAATAATCTCACTTTTATACATGGATCCACTTGTGGAGAAAATCGAGTGACAAAAGGCGAGAGCAAGCAGGAAACCAAAACTTAATTACTTGAGGATGGAATTATATCAAACAAGGGCTCCCAACTTTTTGTTTTAAATTAGGTGCTTGGACGACGTACAAAGAGAATATTGATGATACATTTACCTTCTAACAAAGAGAGAGAGAGAGAGAGAGAGAAACTGTGCTTACAGAGACATTTCCAAAATAAAACACAGGTAGTCCTCAATTTACGACTGCAATTGAGCCCAAAATTTATCATGCTAAGTGAGATGGTTGTTAAGTAGGTTTTGCCCCTTTTTACCACCTTTCTTGCCATATTTGCTAAATGAATCACTGCAGTTGTTAAGTTAGGAACAAAGTTGTTAAGTGAATATGGCTTCCCCATTGACTTTGCTGGTCAGAAGCTCGCAAAAGTTGATCATATGACCCGGGGACACTGCAGCCGTCATAAATATGAACCGGTTGCCAAGCATCCGAAAGTTGATTGTACATGATTATGGTATGCTGCAACGGTCGTAAATATGCAAAACGGTCATAAGTCACTTTTTTTCAACGCCGTTGTAACTTTGAATGGTCACTAAATGAACAGTTGTAAGTTGAAGACCACCTGTAACAGGGCATTTCTAGTTTATTTACTTGAGAGACATTATCCTCAACTGAACTATTAAAACGTTGTACATCTCCTGAGATAAATACACAGCTCTCCTTCAAAGCGGGCTGTTCCTCAGGGCCAGTAAAACTATTTGGATAATAGTTTGGAGCACCACCTAAGGGAAAAAAAATACAATATATTAGAAGCGGGACAGAAGCAGCAAAGAATGCAGGAGCATTAGCTCTGCAAGCACATCACCATGTCTTACAGCCAAAAATTAGTTTTTTCAAGCTAATGGCATTTCTACAATCCCTTTTCAGAGAACTGGATTCCTTCAGACTAAGGCTATTCTTAGCTGCTTCCAATTCCCAAAACAAACCAACAAAAAACTATTTAGGGCTTTGATTCTCTGTTCCTGTAATTATCTTGATAACGTAAGAAAAAAAAAGCTTGAAGGTAAAATTACTGTACATATATTTGTAATGTTAATTGACTCACAACCATATTGTAATGGCTAATGAAAACATTGTAATATTGTGGGTCTAGTAATTTGCTTCAGTAGCAATAAAAATAATGAATTCATTTATTATGCTAATTTTTGGCTCGTTTTAGAATCATTTGTGGGGTAAACATCAATGGACGTCTCAGATAAATGCTAAATTGGAGGTGGGGAGGCTGGAGGCTCTGAAACCTCTTCTGAAGTTCTCTGCCTTTGGTATACAACTTTATTTCAGTTATATAACAGTTGAAATGAAAAGCACATAACTGCAGTGTAAGGCTAAACTTTTTAAACTTCAGTACTCACCCACTCTGCTCCCCCAAAATGTGCATGTGTCTACTGCATATGTGTGGGTCCACGCACATAAGGATGGATGGATGAGAGAGAGATTGAGAGAGGGGGGAGGGAGATCCATCCATCAATGGTGCTCTAACCCACCTACAGCTTTTTTGTCATGTAATTTTTGAATTCTTGCATGAGATCCCATTCTTGTATTTCAACTCTAGGATAAGCCTGACATCTCAGAAGTTTCTTTTTAAAAAGTTACTGCTTTAGTAGGCAGTCCTCAACTTAGCACTGGTTGTTTAACAATCATTCGAAGTTACAACGGCCTTGGAAAAGATGTTTTACAGCCTACAAAGACTTTCAGCCACTGTAAAATGTTGTGCCATTCTCCCTCCCCCCCATTATCTCGATCTGGGTGCTTGGCAACCTGTTTACCCTAACAAACAGTTGCCAGGCCCTCTGCAATCAAGTCACCACCATTTGTAATCCTCTCTGTTGGGACTCCCTTCGGCAGAGTGCAGAACTCAGATTTTGAAGTTCATATAATATGCTTAACCAAACTATCTACATTCTAGTATACTTCAGGAATTTCTAACCTTCTTGAAACAATAGATACATTTGAATTTTTGAAAGCATAACAGAAATTTGTTAAAATGGTTGTTTAAGTATGATCATAAAACATGTTTTAAGAGCCTATATAAAGTGTAAAGCAGTGCTGGAAAAAAGAACCATGTTTTCTTTGCAGCATACTAGCTTTCCATTATCTGTTATTTGTGTGTACATAAAATAAATATATGTGTTATGACCCAGATAGTCAAGGTAAGGAAGGCCTCTAGAGAGTCCTTTATTTTGCTCAACAAATGGTCAAGCAAATGGCCCTACCAACAACCAGTAAGGCCACCGTGGAGACAGCCACCCTCAGTCCCCCAAACAACAGGCCCTATGGTATAAATAAAGCCCACAGAGTAGGAGCACGCTCACAGGGCAAGGTCCAAGGTTCCATGTCCAGTCCAGAAGGAAGAGTCCAGGCACAAGTCAATGGCAGTCCCAGGGCAAAGAAAAGGTCCAAGGCAAGAAGCAGTTCCAAAGCCCAGTGAAGCAAAGGCCAAAGCAGTCCACAAGAGAAGGGCTAGGACCAAGACAAAAAGGCAAAGGAGCAATCTTCCAAGCGAGGCAAGACAAACCGCAATGGGTATGAGTTGAAGCCAGGGGAGTGCAAGCCAAAGCAAACTATTGTTTCTGGCAAAGACTAACTCCCCATGGCTTCTCCTCAAGTTACTCCCCTCCAGGTGTTCCTTGTAAGGAGGGGTAAGACAACCTCCTCCTGAGTAGTCTTGCAGCCCTTCTCTGGGCTTGCCTACGCTCCACTCTCCTTGCCCTTGGATTGAGTGGAGGAGGCAGCTGTTCCTCATCAGAGAACTGCTGCCTATCAGCACCACTGCCGGTCAGCAGCCGATCCTCCCCTGTGTCTGTGCAAGCAGGCAGCTGTCCATCTGGTTGACCACCTCCCCCAATGCCTGAGGGGCCCAGGACAGGAGAAGTGCCATCCCTGTCGGACGGTCCCAGTTCCAACTCCTCCTCCTCTTCCTTTGAACTGGGCTCCGATGGGGCCATGACAGTACATTAGACACAAAGTTAAGCTCTGGTGTCAATGTAAATCAGGGGTAGTCAACCTTGGGTCTTTTATGACTCGTGGACTTCAACTCCCAGAATTCCTGAGCCAGCTGTGCTGGCTCAGGAATTCTGGGAGTTGAAGTCCACGAGTCATAAAAGAGCCAAGGTTGACTACCCCTGATGTAAATGAAGAAAAAGCAGTTGCAAAGGTTGCTCTAAATTACTGGCATAGCCTAGCTTCCAAATGTTATTTTCAGATTTACCCTGGTTATCAGAAATGCACATAAGTCCATCTCTCTGGTAATTGGCCACCTTAGTTCGGTATGGACAATTTACAGGAATCTGAAGGTAGTTGGGTCCCAGACGGTGTCCGTGGGTATCTCGATATGAGAAAAGACGACCCTAGAAAAATATACCACAGAGGTAAAAGGGAGGAAGCGGACAGTTTTTCCCCAGGTTTTTCTCATCACTGCCTGTATCATCACTGCTTTTGAAAGACTATTGCTGGTCCTACTCTACAGGAAAGAAAAATCTTGATTTCAGAGGACCCAAAAACATGGCCCAGAAGCAAACCTGTAGATTCAGATCAAAGGTATCTATTTAATATAGCACAGTGGTTCTCAACCTTTTTAATGCCGCGACCCCAACTGGTCGTAAGTCAAGGACTAAACCGGTCGTAAGTCGAGGACTAAACCGGTCGTAAGTCGAGGACTAAACCGGTCATAAGTCGAGGACTACCCAACCGGTCATAAGTCGAGGACTTTCCCTGCCCGGGAGCGCTGCGCATGCGTGGTTCCACCCCCTGCGCCGGCCGAGGCGTAGCTGGCAAGCGGCAGAGACGGAGCAGGCCGACCACCAGCTGGGCCAGCCCAAGGGAGGTAAGGCACCCGCCGGAAAAGGGGGAAAAATGGCGGACAAAAAAATGGCGGACAGCCTTGCTTGGCGACCCCCATGAAATGGTTGATCGACCCCAAATGGGGTCCCGACCCACAGGTTGAAAACCACTGATATAACAGAAAGTGGCAACAAAATTAGAAGGATGTCTTTGATGCTTTCTTTAGTATCCCTCAGATTCTTTCTTTTCTTTAAGTACTTTATAATCTAAATCCTTTAATTAATGATGTAATTAAATCTACAATCTTTCATCTCATTAACTATATCTGGAATAAGGATCTTATGCTGACCAAACAACTTCCTTGTGTCAAGCTCTGCGAATACCTAAGGTGCAAATAACGAATGGTGTTCTTTTTACCAATTGCTTTTATATTCAGAGGTGGGAACAAAAATCGCAACACACCACAAAATGAAAAGCATGGGATAAAGAACAAAACTTCTAATAACAAACAGATTGATGTTAGCATATTTTCATTTTTGTAAAAATGACCTTATTGAGAAACTGAGTTCCTAGTCTCGCAGTTAAATGAACAGGGGAAAAAAAAATCAATTCTGGTTACCTGTAACATTTTATCAGGGCTAGGTTCAATGCCTGGAGGCATGTTGCTTGGATCAAAGGCCAATTGTTCCACTTCAGAAAAATAATTGACGGGATTTTGGTTTAAGACAATTTTTCCCACAGGAACGAGAGGATAATCTTTGTGAGGCCAAACCTAGAAAATATGACCAAGATGTTTTATTATATCTAGCTTGGGCTTGCACAATATAGAAATGTATTTTTTTTCTACTCTGTGCTGTATACAGGAGAAAAGGTCACAAAAAATACTCACCTTTGTTACATCAAAAGGATTAAATGGAAACCATTCAGCTTGCTCAAATGTCATAACTTGAATATAAAAAGTCCAAGAGGGGAAGTTTCCATTAGCAATTGCATTGTAAAGATCACGCAGGCCATAATCCGGATCTTCAGAAGCCAATCTTTCTGCATCTTTGACAGGGAGGTTTTTAATTCCTTGATCAGTCTAAAAATATTGAAGTGCAATGTTAATTAGTAATTCGCTAGCAAAAAGTACTAAACGTAATTATAAATCTATGTCCAAAGATATATTGTGAAATTATGTGTACAGTACTATGCATGGAAGGAGTAAAATTAGCTACCAACAATTACTAAATGTAGAAATATTTATTCTTAATACACGCCTCAACCCATTAGGTCATCACAAGCAATGTGGTGGCCTAGTGGTGAAGACTCTTGCCTACCACTCAGAAGGTTGAGAGTTCAATCCTAGGTAATGGCAGATGTCTCTCTCTTTAGGGCGTAAAGAAAAAATGTCTGCTGCCAACTCCATGTAGGAGTCAGGAAGGGCAGTAAATGTTCAGCTCCATCCATTCATCCCGACCAGTAACAGCAATCTGCATTAAAACAGACTTCAGTTTAAAAATGAAAATGTTCTGTAAGAGAATGTTTATAAAGCTGCTATACAAGAAACAAATCTAGGTCTAAGGATATATTGTGAAATTATATGTAGGAAAAACAATATTATGGGTGGAAAGGGTAAAATTTTCCAATGTTATGAAGGAAATAGAAGATTTTTGCTAAAAATATTATTATTATTATTATTATTATTTAAAAATAGGAACGGATATGAATGCAATTGGCTTTGCCTAGCAATTAAGTGCATGGCTGATAAAAATTGAAAGAAATAAGTTACATGGAATCATAAGGAGCAAACTTTTGATGGCTCAACATTGAAGAGAAAATAGTAACAGACTTTTGATGGCTCAACCTTGAAGAGAAAATAGTAACAGTAGGCCATATTTACCTTTACATGAAATTTGCAGTATACTGCATTGTCGTAAGCATTGACTAGCTTAAAAGTATGTGACCCATAGCCGTTCATGTGACGGTGCCCATCTGGAATGCCACGATCGCTGAACATGATTGATACCTACATGAGCCGAAACAATGTACATAGCCATCTTTAATAAGAACACAGAGGCCAGATTCCATTGAACAGCTGTCTCTTCCTGCATAAATTGTATATTCCAGTTGTATTCTATACTTCATGCATATTCCCATCCAGCCCTATCCAATGTCTAGAATGTGATGTTGCAGTTTCATGACATTCATTCGAGAAACAAGAATAATTAATGCTCCTTGTAGAGAATGCCTCGTTTCCTTTTAGCATATTCAGAGGAAAAACAGTGTCTGCATCAGTTAGCAACACATTAAGGGANTGTATATTCCAGTTGTATTCTATACTTCATGCATATTCCCATCCAGCCCTATCCAATGTCTAGAATGTGATGTTGCAGTTTCATGACATTCATTCGAGAAACAAGAATAATTAATGCTCCTTGTAGAGAATGCCTCGTTTCCTTTTAGCATATTCAGAGGAAAAACAGTGTCTGCATCAGTTAGCAACACATTAAGGGAAGAAACAATCATGTACTCTGTTAAGTAAAAGTTACACAAAGGACGCAGTGTGGGGTAGTGATTAAGTCACCAGGTTAGAAACTAGGAGAATGTGAGTTCTAGCCCTGCCTTAGGCACAAAGCTAGCTGGGTAACCCTGGGCCAGTCACTGTTTCTCACCCCTAGAATGGAGGCAATGGCAAACAAGGGTTGTTGTTGTGGGGAAAATAGGAGGGAGGGGTATTTGGTATGTTTGCCATCTTGGGGAATTTATAAAAATAATAAAGGTGGGATTTAAAAAATACAATAAATATAAAACATGATCCTCACTCTTGAGGAGTGTTCAACTGCAAGCTTTTTATAGAAATCAATTGCAGATATACCACTTCACAGAAGGTATCTATGGAATAACCATTCAGAACAAGACCAGCAGTGTTTTTAATACTATCTGTTACTCACTTTTTTTCTTAAAACAAACCATCATTTTAATTTCTGTAATTACTGATTTTAAACATTGCTGGTTTTATTGTGATAGTTTTATTTGATGTATTTGTACTGCCTTTGTATTTATACTTTTCTTTTGGTAAATTGTAGGAGAAGGAGCTACACAATAAATAAGTAATATATCTACTACTGAAGCACAGTTTCTAAGGAACATCTCTGGACTATGTGCAACAAACGATTAAACTTAATTTAGGCATTAATCAAATAAAAGTATCTCCAATATCTTCCCAGTGGGGTTTTTTTACGGGTGTGTTTTTAGAACAGGCCCGTTATTTAATTCGATTTTAAAACAAACTATTTATTACCGTGGTTTTTAGTATCGCCTGTTCACCGCCCTGAATCCCGCAAGGGAGATAGGGCGGTATATAAATTTAATAAATAAAATAAATAAATAAATAAATAAATAAATTAAATCTAATGATATCTAAGAATATCCCAAATTTTTTTCCAGCCTGGAAATAAAAGAATTGGAGTTGCCTGTGTGAAGTTCAGTATTTCAAATACTAACTTGTGTTACTGAGCATTTATTACTGCAGTACTGCATTCTAACACTGTGTGGTGATGCAAGGGTTAGAATACAGTACTGCAGGCTGACTTTGCCTACAGCCAGGAGTTCAATTCTGAGTAGTTCAAGGTTGACTCAGTCTTCCATCTTTCCAGGGTCGGTAAAATGAGGACCCAGATTGTTGGGACAATATGCTGGCATTTATAAACTGCTCAGAGAGTGCTGTAAAGCACTATGGAGTGGTATATAAGGCTGAGTGCTATTGCTATTCTACTACAAATTCCCATAATTAAACATTCTAACTACAACCATATAATGGTAACACAGATTCTGCAAATATTTCCATGGGGAAATTTTGTAGTTTCTTATATGTTTAAGCAAGCTTTGAAATCAGTGTTGACTTTTTCTTAAAAAAAAAAAAAAAAGTCTTAAACCGGGCTAGCTTTATTTATAAAAAAAATCTTTCTAGCTGCTTTTTTATGTTATGAAATTTTTATTGATTTTGCAAATACAAGGTAGCAACAGATAAATAAAAAACAGGTGTTCTGCACCATAATTTATGGCTTTTATACACACTGTATGCACACATTCATATTTCTACTGGCAAAGACAAACCCATGAATTTCAAGAAATTCTAGATACTACCCTATCTTTCTTTCCTTCCCTTCATGTTTGCAAGAGTGGAACTAGAACAGAAATGGCTGAGTGCGGCTTTTTGGCTTTTATCCAAAAAAATGAAGATGCCATGGAAACTAAACCCAATTCTCTTCTCTCATGATAACTTTTTTAATGATGAGAAATGTAATTTAATATAGCAGCATAACAAGAATCAAGTCTTTAATTTGTTTCTCCTGGTCTCTGCCATTTTCTATGAGCTAAAGATGAAGAACAGAGGGCTTAAATGAAACAGGCTAAAAGGAGTTAAAATCTTACCTGGTGTAGAGACTCAGGACGAAGACTCCAGAAGTCCCATGCCATGTTTGGATCTTTCAGATGTGTCTGTGGATTCCTCTTTTGGGTATGGATAAAAGATGGAAACTAACAGAATACAAAAACAAAGAATTAAACTCTTATGAAAATATTAATTAAAATGAAGCTTGGCCCTAACAAGATAAATACTACTGAATCATACCACCCCATTAAAAATTTTGAAGAATCACATTTATAATTTGAGGATACTATTGAGCCAGCAAAAAGTAGTTTAACAATAGACAATTTTCTATTTTGGCTGACTTTAAAGACTGGCTGGAAGCTTTAAACCCCTGTAAAATTCTGATTATAAAAAAGAGTTAATAATTATTTTTCTGGATACAATTGTAAGTGACAATGTTACCATATAACATATAACAATTTAAGTAATCTGAATGCAGGTTCAATAATGGCATATTTTTCCCCATTTTACCTCTGATATTCAAGATGGGCAAACTGGAATTCCTATTATTTATTTAGCGTATGGCATATCATACATGAACTAGCAATATATATTAACATTTCAACTAGATTAGTAGAACCCAATAAAATATAAATGTTAAAAAGATCTATGTTCAAACAACAATGTCTAGGCCACCTAACCATTGAAGCACAGTGTCGTTTATATTAAAAAAATCAGATACTGGACCGGTAGATGCCCTCAGCTTATAGCCGATCACAATATGATCTACAGTTTGACATGGGACCCCACAGTCACACTGAAGAGAGGATGCTATGCAGTGGTGGGATTCAGCCGGTTTGCACTGGTTTGGCAGAACTGATACCTAATTTTTTGTTGAGTTCGGCGAATTGGTTATGATAAATCTGTGTTTTCCAGAACACACCTGGTTTTTGTTCAACTTCCTTCCAGGTGGGGGAAAAAATCCCTCCCCAAAAGTCCAAGAGAGGAGCAACGGAAACCAAACAGAGACGCGGTGCCTTCGATTATGTCAGCTGCCTGCCTGCCTCTTCCCTTTCACTCCCCTCCCGAGCCGGACTGCCATGCTACAGAGGATGGGCCTTACCTGGTCCTCCTCCGCCATTTTAGATCCGGGGGGAGTGACAGCTAAAGGCTCTGCCGCCATGGCGCAACAGCCACATCTGCTGCTGGAGGGGCTTTCTTCGGTCCCTGCTGCCTCCTTCTCCTCCAACTCCATGACCAGGGGGGCAAGCCTCCCCTGCTGCCTCCTTCCGCCCGCCCTGGTATCCCTCTACCAGCCCTCCATCACCACCACACTTTCTTGCCACCCTGCATCGGCCTATCTCTCCCTTCTCCATTCTGGAAATGGCAGCCCCATTTTCTGCTGCTTTCCTCCCAGCAGAAGGGATCGCTGCGCAGAGGAAGGAAGGAAGGAAGGAAGGAAGGAAGGAAGGAAGGAAGGAAGGAAGGAAGGAAGGAAGGAAGGAAGGAAGGAAGGAAGGAAGGAAGGCTTAAGGTCACCCAGGGAGGCAAAGGAAGTTACTGTAAGCCACCTTTCTCCCTTTTTCCCTTTCCTGGCTGGGATGGAGGCAACCCACACAGGCTGCTGCTTCGTGCAAGCGGGTGCGACGCTGGCAACCAAGGCTCCTCAGGGCCACTTGAGAAGTTTTGTTCCTGGGTGGTGGTGGGTGAAACTGACCACCCTGGCCCAGTTTTCACCTCTGCTTCTTCCTCGGGTGGCTTACTCTGCCCCCCCCCCCTTTACTTTTAGTGTTCAGGGAAGCCCATGCCTTTCTGTGTTTCTTAAGTTGCTCTTTGGGCAGAGAACCAGTTGTTAAATTATCTGATGTTATGCCCCATTTATACAGAGAGTTCTGTCAGACACCATGTGAGGTGTGAATCCTATTCAGGACTGTCCAATGCTGATATGATAGTTCAAAGCCCATCACCTTTTTGTGGGGTCATTTATATGTCTTCCTATGTCTGGACATTCAGTGACCCATTTGTCTTTCCATTGGGGATTGATATTAAAGTTGTTGGGCAGATGTTGTGCAAGTGCCAGTGGGGGCTTCCTGGATTTGAGTATCCCAACTGTTGGCAGCCAGACTACTCTGTACAGACTTTCCTGGCTTTCAAAATACATGGAACCCTTTTCCCTTGCAACATATGGTATCATTATTGCTGAAAAATCTGTGAAACAATTCTATCCTATTTTGAAACAGAAAACACCTAAACCTTGTAGCTTACATTCTAAAATAAAGATTTCTTTCCCACCCCAAACTGAAAATCCAATGATTACAATGCAGCCCTTTTAATAAAATTTATTGCTTGCTTGATTTCATGTATGCTCACTACAACAGAGAACTGCTTGCAGTTTGCAATACAGTATCAATGAGCTCCAGGTGCCCTGAAGAAACTATAATGGCAGGTTCTAAAACAATGGCCACACTTATTACGCTCTAAGGCAGTGAGACCGAGTGCAACCCAGAAACCACTTATGCATCATCGGGTGCCGGGTGGGTGTGGCCCATTGGCTGGGTGTGGCCAATTGGGTGGGTGTGGCCCATTGGGTAGGTGTGGCTGCAGTGGTAACAGCAGACTGGGTGGGACTAAAAAGTTCAATCAATCAATTCCAACTTTGCAAGATCTTTTTTTTTCCTGCGAGAAGTTAAAATTGACTGATTGATTGAACCTTTTTTTTTTGCATTCGGCGGCGGAGGCCTAAAGCGAAAAGGTTTTATAAAACCCAGATGAAGGCCTAGTACTGGGGCGACGGCGAGCGTGCCCACAGAGAGCGCTCTGAGTGCCGCCTCTGGCACCCGTGCCATAGGTTCGCCACCACTGCTCTAAGGTCTTTGGCAAAAACCTGATTGAAAGTACATTTTTTTATTTAGACTACAGAAATTCTTGGTTTTGACAAGTTAATTTTCTTTCCTCTCAGAGGATTATATTTAGATGATGATGCTCAGTTTTGCAAACTGAATATTTGCAAACTCTTTAGTACCATCTCATTTTAATAAAATTTTGAATGTCGAACAATCGTCAAGAGGAACCTAAATGGGAAATAATACAAGTCAGGAATATTTATTTACAGTTAATTCCATGTGCTCTCATATGTGTGGCATCACTGCCATTGGAACATTTGAGATGGGCTATTTATTTTTATTATTATACACATTCAAATGGCCTAGAAGACCCATCAAGATAACAACTGAGAACCTATAAAATATAAAATACACTTTTCAGAAGATGTTGCTTTAGATATACACAATCTTCTTTTTATTTACTTTTTAGGCTCCCACAAATCATAAATATCAATTATGTTCCAATTTACCAGCATTGCATCTCTAATGAAGAAAACGGGAGTGTTGTTCCCTACAAGATCCCAATTTCCATCTTCAGTGTAGAATTTCATTGCAAAACCTCGAGGGTCACGCACTGTGTCAGCTGAGCCAGATTCCCCAGCTTAAAAAAAAATTAAAAATTCCCATGATTAAATTCTATGCACACAGTCTAATACCTTGACCAACTTTTTTATGTATTTACTTACTGTGGAATCTATAATCCATATGGTTGACATTTAAGAGAGAAAGAGCAGAAATAGAATTGGACAGAAGTAATTTAAAGCTCAGAGGATGGCAGAAGGCTAGGAAGGGATGACTTGGAAAAATTACTTACAAATTATCTTTTAAATTCAAATAATTTAATGTGTTCACTAACTACATGTAGAAAAAGCACTTATGAAATATTTGTCAAATTTACACCTTGGTTTCATTGCTTTAAATTTATTGGAGATGCCCTTTCAGCAGACTCTGGACAGCTTAGAAAATATAATACTAAATTAAAACAATTAAAAACATAGAATAAAACAAAGGCAATACAAATTAAAAAACAATAATTTCAATCAAACTGCCAAATAATTATATATCATTCTTTCAGATACATGCAGACATAAATATCCTTTAGAGAAAGAATATACTTGTATTTTGGGTATTCATAAAACTTGCTCAAAAATACACATGCATTGATCCTTTCCTGCAGTAGCCTATTTAATAACATTCTATTAAAATTTTAGAAAAATATAAAGAATCAACATTTCATATTGAAGGTGTTATTTATTAAATGACATTGCCCAGTATCAATTAAAAACAGCACATAAACATCCACTGAAATAGATTACACACAGTGCTTTTTTTCTAAAAAAAAAAAAAAAAAAAAGTGCTGGAACTCACACAAGTCATACAACCCGGCTTGCCTACTCTATAAGGTTCCATCCAAAAAAGGTGCCGTAACTCCGTTCTGGGCGTTCTATGAGAAAAAAAGCCCTGCATATAACATATTCAATGAAACTCCTTTATATATGAAGCAAATAAATAACATACACTGAAAGTATGCAAGATCCTTACCAACAGTTGAAAATCGAATTGCCATTGGAGTTTTTTGGCCTATGTGCTCAAATATCTTTGCCTTGCAGTATATGGTGATATCATGAGTCACTTCAAAATAGCCAAATGCTCCTGAAAAATTAAAAGGAGTTACTCTATTAAAATGAAAAAGATTATTCCAAAGTCTGTAGATTTGGAAAGAATATTAGTTATGGTAAAAGAAATATTATCAGGGGTTTGCATGTACGCATTTTTATGCTTTTTTTGGAAATGTTTATTGTTACTGTAAATATAGCAGCTCCTTTTAATGAAGAATCTCTGATTCAACAAAGGATTCTGCTAACAAAAAGGAAGAAATCAACTTTCACTCATTTTTCCTTCTTTTCCCCTTCTCATACTAATATAAAGCAAATCAAACAATTATTTGATTGTGTGCCATTGCACACAAATGTTTTTACAGACTGAACAATGGTAATTTCTAAATATTTTTACCTGTAGCATATCATTTTTAATTGGATTAGATTTGTACGTAGAAAGGGTGATTACATGCAAAAAAAAAGATTCTAAATTAAATATGCTTAGATCAATATGAACCTCTGAATGATAAATACATTTCTGGAGCAATAAATGCAAAGAATTTGACAATATAATATTTCTCAATTTTCTTTTAAAAATTCTGAGAAAATATTATGAGTCAACTGAAAGTTGACAAGTAAACTAGGTAAATAAGTGCTCAGTACATATGACACAACTAAGCAAGGATTCAGTAGAATAAATCATGATCTATAAATAATGCAGTATTATAGAACAAAATGAAAAAAATAGAAAACAAATCTCTTTCTCCAACATTGCGGAAAGTTAATCTGATTCTAATATTTCCTGGTTACTTCTGTTCACAAATCTATTATCCATAAACAGATTAGTTAATCACAATTTTAATGTTTCAATCTTTTAAAGAAAAAATCTTAAATGTTATTAAATTGTATCAATTAGCAAAATAAGACCAGAAAGATAAATAAAAGTAAGATAAAAACATAAGTTTAAACTATCACAAATAGATAGATTCTAGATCAGCAGTTCTCAACCTATGGGTCGCGACCCCATTTGGGGTGGATTGACCATTTCACGGGGGTCGCCAAGCAAGGCTGTCCGCCATTTTTTCCCCTTTTCCGGCGGGTGCCTTACCTCCCTTGGGCTGGGCCAGCTGGTGGTTGGCCTGCTCTGTCTTTGCCGCTTGCCAGCTACGCCTCGGCCGGCGCAGAGGGCAGAACCACGCATGTGCGGCGCTCCCGGGCAGGGAAAGTCCTCGACTTACGACCGGTTGGGTAGTCCTCGACTTACGACCGGTTTAGTCCTCGACTTACGACCGGTTTAGTCCTTGACTTACGACCGGTTTAGTCCTCGACTTACGACCGGTTGGGGGTCGCGGCATTAAAAAGGTTGAGAACCACTGTTATAGATAATTCAAACTCCAATGAAGAAAAGCAGTGGCAAAAATAAATATTGCATTGACTATCGTTGGTTGCCTCACAGACTACTGTATAAGCATCACAGAAAGATTCCTGAATAAGTTGATTAAAAGCATAAGAGGCACAGACACAATGGAAATTCAAAAACTAACCGGCTCCTTTGGCATGGACAACTCTCTCGGGAATCCTCTCTCGGTCAAAGTGTGCCATCTCATCGGTGAAAACCACATCCTGAACCAGGAGTGGACCTCTTGGACCAACGGTTAGGACATTCAGCTTGTCTCCCACTGGGATTCCTGCTCCTGTGGTTAAGCAATCGCATTCCTAGGTTCAAAACAAGAATCACAATTATAACAATAAAAACTTTCACAGCTTTTTTGTGGTCACTTGAAAGCAATCCCAGATTAATTTGACAGACAAAATCTGTCTGCCTTTCATCTGTAGCTTCAGGAAAACTGGAGACATTATTTCATAATATGAATTAAGAGATTAGCCATGCATCAAGAAAATATAATTTTAATTTTAAATTTGGCTAGTGGTAAAACACAGAAGTGTCCGGTGCAGGAAAGCATGAGTCAGGATAGAGTTTGAAAGCACTGAGAGAGTATTCCATGCAATCTATATACAACAATCTGATCTACTAATGGTCAAGGCAAATTGGTGCCAGATAAGAGTCAATAGACTTCGGGGGGGGGGGCTGGATGTAGGTCTCTTCCGGGGGCATACGGACTCTAGACTGATGTGTTTGACCCCGCCCTGAGGTTCAGTCTGGTCATCTCCTACAAGGAGATGGGTTTCCTATTGAGTGGTATATTTTCATGTAAGCAATCACCTGTACCTAAAGCATGAAACATTTGCTTTTATATAATTAATTTCCCAATATAAAGCACCTACAAAGTTGCTTGCACATAAACAAAGATATATATATATTGCTCCTAGAAGCACGAAGCCGAAAACACCAGCCTGAAGATGACGAATGGGACTTTGTCGAAACGTCGCCAAAACACTTCCATCCCTTCACTCCTCCCTTTTTAATATAAAAGCTGAATAGGCTCAGGGACTCTTGAAGAGGGGAATATAGTCAGAAGGTAAAGGTTTTAAAATCATTGCTTTAGCTGGTTTATCATTATAGATAGGAGTGGCAGCAAAAATTGGTCCGGATATAGTGGATCTAACAATTCTCTAAATAAGCGGGATAAGGTATGATAAACACAACAACCCTCCTAAGGCCAAAACCACAATGAACACTATCCTTTTCCAATTATCAAACATTCCTGAAAACCATCCTCCAACATCCAGTGCTCCTGTCCATGTCTGGACAGGGACATGAGCCAACTTTCGCATTCTGTCAGTGACTTCTTTGACATATTCCTTATATGTAATGTCAGACTGGGGACTAATTCCAAGTCAAATTAAAATAAGAAGTGATGTTCTCTCGAGCTTCACATTTAAAAATGAAACAATTCTTTTGGGCCAGATCAATAAAAAAAAGAGTCTTTGATACTCAGAGAATCTCAATTGTGGTTTATAGTTCATGAAAATCAGCTTGAACCCATATTTGTATCTAGTTCAATTGATAGCGAGTTCAAATGATGCTAAAAAAAATCTGTTGGTCTAGTTATTTTGAAGCATACCGGGTTGCAGGAATCCTTTGAATGTGCCAGGTTGGGTAGGATGTGCAAACATATTTGGCGTTTAATGAGTAGGCCTGTCTCCACACTTAGTCCAATTAGCTTGATTATAGTCAATAACTTTACATGCATCAAAGAAGATTCTGGCACTTGTCCATAAGTCTCATGTGATTCTTCCCCAAAAGGTAATGTCTGTATGTCCCTCCATATGTCCAGATTTGAAGTTGTTGGTAAAGTTGTTGGTCATAATAAGTGACCCTGTTGCCCCTTTGCAAGTTGAATACGTAGTCTTGTTATAAACACAACTCCCTTTTGTTCCTTAAAGCTCGTGATCCTTACTTCTACCAAAGAAGGTATGAGGGAAACAACAGTAGCAGAATAAAAATATTGCAATACATAGTCCAGGTTCTAGGAACACAATTTCCAGGGTAGTCCAATCCATTGAGGTGTTTCTCCTACTTATATGGAAACAGTTAACTGGCGAGGCAGGTTGAAATTTCATTTTCAGGCCGTTCAGCTGCAGAGCTTGTCACTGGAGAGGGAATGATGGGACTTTCCATGGACTCACACCTTGATTCCTTAAATCAGGAGGGCTTGGCATGGTTGAGACCACTCAGGACTGGTATTTCTAGGTGACAGTTCTTTTCACCTGAACCCACTCTCCAGGAACAACAATGGCCAGAGATAGGTGGTAGGGCAGCCTGGGCCTGTTCTGAGCTAGAAGACAAAACCTGCGCCAGATTATGCAAACATTGAATAACTTTCTTCTCTTCTTCACTGACATTCTTGAACCTTCATATAACAAAAGCCTCCCATACATCATTTCAAAGGGACAAAGACAGCTTTCCAGTTAAGGTCTATATTGAAATGGCCTCACCACTAAATGTTGTAAAGCTTTTTATTTACTTGTATTCATATATCATATATTTATCACAGGTTTGTTTAACTAAAGTATATATACAACCATCCTGGTTCTTTTTTTCTTTCTTTTTTTTGTAAAAAAGTATCAACCATCCCTCGCACCCCCTTTCAGGGGCTGTTTCTGTGTCCTAGCTATTGCTTTTCTTTCTTTCTTTCTTTCTTTCTTTCTTTCTTTCTTTCTTTCTTTCTTTCTCTTTCTTTCTTTCTTTCTTTCTTTCTTTCTTTCTTTCTTTCTTTCTTTCTTTCTTTCTTTCTTTCTTTCTTTCTTTCTAACATCCGTCTCCAATCTTGCAACATCCACTTCCCACTTTCTTCTATTTTTTCTCTTTCCATCGCATGTTTGAGCTCACCACATTAATGACAGTCTCCCTGCTTAATGCATGCAATTCACAAGTCTGTGCAAACCCACTTAAAAGCAACTTTCCTGCTTCTTCCTTCTATTATCCATTCTTTCACTTCACTTCCACCACTTTGGCCTAACTTCTTTCTTTTTTTCTTCCACAAGGACATTTTTTTAATCAACTTTACATGAGCCAACTCTTTCCCTCTACTATTAATCAATCCTCTTAGTTTCTCTTCTCCAAAAGTATTCAAGATTCCATAAGCATACTTGGAGTCAGTGTATATGTTCCCCTTCTCCCTTATTAACAACCTCAGAGCCTGCTGTAAGGCATAAAATCCACAGGATTGTGCTGACTAAGGGAAGGAAATTCTTCTAGCCTCCACTAACATTTTCTCCTCCCCATCTACTATCGCATCTTCATCATGTCTCTCTTTTTCTTTTTCTTTTCTTTTTCCCAATTCCTTTGCTATGAACAAGTGTTTACCTCCTTTCGGCTTTCTGATTTAAAATTACCCACACTTAGCCACCAAGACTTCCCAAATGTCAACTTTAGACAGAAATGCCACTGGCTGCCTCTTTCCCCCCACTTCTGGGTCAAAACCTCCTCCAAGCCATCCCTTTGTCTGTATTTACAAACAAA